TTAAAGGGAGTATGATTTGTAAAACCCTTAAGTCTATAAAAGGGTTGATTAGGGCATGATGTAAAAAAACGAAAATAGTGAAATTTTCTCCTGCGGCGGCCGTGGACGTAGTTTCTCATATTGAGAAGCGAACCACGTAAATCTTGTGTGTTTATGATTAATTGAATTCTCTCTTCTCTCCTAAATCTCTATTTCCAAATCGCATCAGGGGGGTTGTGCATCCCCAACAAGTGGTATCAGAGCGACCAGGTTCGGCGCGAGCGATTTGAGGTCAGAGACATGGGATCTGAGAAGGAAACATCCAAGATTGAGAAGTTTGATGGAACAAACTTCGGGTTCTGGAAGATGCAGATGGAAGACTACCTCTATCAGAAGGATTTATACCTACCATTGGGAGAGAAGCTTACGGATATGAAGGATGCGGATTGGAAGCTATTGGATCGAAAGGCCCTTAGAGCGATCAGGTTGACCTTGTCTAAATCAGTAGCGTTCAACATCAAGAATCAGAATACGATGGCGGATCTCATGGCGACGTTGTCCAGTATGTATGAGCATCCCTCTGCGGCGAATAAGGTACATCTCATTAAAAAGCTGTTTAATTTAAGGATGTCCGAGAGTCAGAAATTCAAGGAACACCTGAACGAGTTTAAAGAGATCACAGATCAACTAAACTCGGTTAATATTCAGTTTGACGATGAAATCCAATCCCTCTTGATACTTGGTCAATTACCTGACAGTTGGAAGGGTACTGTTATCTCGATTAGCGGATCATGTGGTAAATCAAAACTGAAGTTTTCAAAGGTGGTGGACATGATTATGACTGAGGAGATTAGAAGACAAGAGGAAGGGATTTCTAATTCAGGGTCGGCGTTGAATCTTGAGAGCAGAGGAAGAAACAGAAACAGAAATAGAGGGAATAGCCGAGGAAGACCTAACTCGAGGAACGGGAGGTCAAAGTCTAGAAATCGCAAGAGCAAGAAGGAGATCGATTGCTGGAATTATGGTAAGTTTGGCCACTATGAGAATCAGTGCCGAGAACCCAAGAAGGACAAGGAGAACAAGACTGAAGCGAACGTGGCCTCAAGAGAATCAGATGATGCCCTAATCTGTTCGTTGGAGAGCAAGACTGAATCGTGGGTGCTGGATTCAGGAGCTTCATTTCATGCTACCTCAAATAGAGATTTATTTGAGAACTACGTTTCAGGAAACCTAGGAAAAGTCTATCTTGGTGATGATCAGCCCTGTGATATTGTTGGCAAAGGAGTCGTGCAGATCAAGCTCAATGGGTCTATATGGAAGCTGAGTGATGTGAGACATGTTCCTAGCTTGGGGAAAAATCTGATTTCCATAGGACAATTGGAAAAGAGGGATATGTATCAACCTTCGCATGTGATACGTGGAAGGTTACAAAGGGGTCCATGGTTGTTGCCCGTGGTACGAAGACAGGGTCCCTCTACATGACGATAGATGCACGTGGTTCCATTGCAGTTGCTAAAAGTAAGGAAGACCCAAATTTATGGCACTAGAGGCTAGGTCACATGAGTAGCAAAGGCCTAAAGGTTATGCAGTCGAATGAGAAGTTACCAGGTTTGAGATCGACTGATATCGACTTATGTGAAAGTTGCATTCTTGGGAAACAAAAGAGAATAAGCTTCAAAAGGGTTGGCAGAACTCCTAAAGAAGAGAAACTTGAGTTAGTTTACACAGATGTGTGGGGTCCAGCATCAGTACCATCCACCGGTGGAAGGTTATATTTTGTGACCTTCATAGATGATCACTCGAGGAAGACTTGGGTCTATTTCATGAAACACAAATCAGAAGTGTTTGAAGTCTTCAAGAGATGGAAGGCTATGGTTGAGAACGAGACCGGTTTGAAGATCAAGACTCAGAGTTCAAGAGGTTCTGTTATGACAGCGGCATTAGATTAGAGAGGACAGTGCCAGGTACACCCAGCAGAATGGCATAGCAGAACGGATGAACAGAACGTTGACTGAGAGAGCCAGAAGTATGCGGTTACAAGCATGTTTTCCAAAGTAATTCTGGGCAGAAGCAATCAACACAGCTGCCTACTTGATCAACTGGGGACCATCAGTGCCTTTGGAGCACAAAATACCTGAAGAAGTATGGAGTGGAAAGCAGGTAAATCTTTGTGCCTTTGGAGCACAAAATACCTGAAGAAGTATGGAGTGGAAAGCAGGTAAATCTTTCTCACCTGAGAATATTTGGATGTGTTTCATACGTTCATCTGAGTGATCATGCAAGAAACAAACTTGATCCTAAGTCTTTGAAATATTTCTTTGTTGGCTATGGCGGTGATGAGTTTGGCTAAAAATTCTGGGATGAGCAGAACAAGAAAATCATCAGAAGTAGGGATATGGTCTTTAATGAAACAGTCCTCTACAAAGACCGTGATGCCGTTCAGTCCACTAGTTCGGTGCAGAGTGATCCCAGATACTTCGAGTCAGATGATGCCTCAGATGGAGGCAATCCTGAAGCTAGTTCTGATGAAGAAGAAGAGTTGATGGATGAGACTACTTCAGAGGGGGCAGATGAAGATGGAGAGCATGTTTCGCCTGTCAGAGAGTTGAGGCGGTTAGCTAGAGTCCCCAAGCCTAATCCAAAGTATCCATCACTACAGCCCAGAGCTCATCTCAACTACCTATTATTGAGTGACGGTGGAGAGCTAGAAAGTTATGATGAGGCACTTCGAGTGGATGATGCGAGCAAGTGGGAGATCGCAATGAAAGATGAAATAAAATCCTTGAACACCAACAAGACATGGGAACTTGCGAAGCTACCAACGGGGAAAAAGGCCTTGAGCAACAAATGGGTGTACAGAATCAAAGAGGAACATGATGGTTCCAAGAGATACGAAAAAGGCCTTGAGCAACAAATGGGTGTACAGAATCAAAGAGGAACATGATGGTTCCAAGAGATACAAAGCCAGATTGGTGGTTAAAGGATTTTAGCAGAGAGAAAGAGTTGATTACACAGAGATCTTCTCTTCTGTAGTCAAACTGACCACCATCAGAACAGTCATGAGTATTGTTGCAGCTGAAGATCTACATCTCGAGCAGCTAGATGTAAAGACAGCTTTCCTCCACGGTGATCTAGAGGAAGATATATATATACAGCAGCCAGAGGGGTTTACTCAAAAGGGAAAAGAGAAGATGGTATGCAGATTGAAGAAGAGCTTGTATGGCCTGAAACAAGCTCCAAGGCAATGGTACAAAAAGTTCGATGTATTCATGCACAGGAACGGTTACTCCAGGTGCAATGCTGATCACTATTGCTTTGTCAAGGAGTTTGACAACAGTTACATCATCCTGCTTTTATATATCGACGACATGCTAGTAGCCGGTTCAGACATGAGAGAGATCAAGAAGCTGAAGAAGCAGCTGTCGAGTGAGTTCGACATGAAGGATCTAGGCGCAGCGAAGCAAATATTGGGGATGAAGATCAGTAGAGACAAGCTCTTGGGCACACTACGACTATCTCAGGCCGAGTACATTAGACGGGTGCTTGAGAGATTCGGGATGAGTGGTGCTAAGGCCGTTAGCACACCGCTAGCTAGTCATTTCAAATTGACTAAGGAGCAGTGCCCCGAGACTGATGAAGAGAAAGACTACATGGCTAAGGTTCCATATGCTTCAGCCATTGGAAGCCTCATGTACGCCATGATATACACGAGACCTGACATTACCCATGCAGTGGGAGCTGTGAACAGATTTATGTCAGATCCAGGAGAGCAGCACTGGGAAGCAGTTAAGTGGATTCTGAGATACCTGCGAGGTACAATAGAAGACTGTTTATGCTTCAGGAGAGACAAGTTAGTTCTGCAGGGTTTTGTTGATGCAGACTATGCTGGTGAGATAGACCAGAGAAGGAGCACTACAGGATACGTATTCACTTTGGGCTCTACAGCTATTAGTTGGGTTTCTCAGTTGCAAAAGATCGTTGCTTTATCAACGACAGAGGCTGAATATGTTGCTGTGACAGAAGCAAGCAAGGAGATGATATGGTTGCAGGGTTTCTTGGAGGAGCTGGGACAGAAGAGTGAGAAGAGTGTCTTACATTGTGATAGCCAGAGCGCAATTCATTTTGCGAAGAATCCCGCTTTTCATGCAAGGACCAAACACATACAGGTCCGCTACCACTTCATAAGATCAGCGTTGGATGAGGACATGTTGGAACTTGTGAAGATTCAAGGAAGCAAGAACCCGGCCGATATGCTTACCAAGGTTGTCACTACAGAGAAACTGAAGTTGTGTTCAACTTCAGTTGGCCTCATTACTTAATGATATGGAGGCCGTCACCGCAGAGAGAACTAAAAAAGATTGATAGTTAGTCTCCAAGTGGGAGATTGTTATGATATGTGAAGCCTAACTATTAGACCTGTCCTATACTTCAGAATGAAGAGGAACAAAGTGGAACAGGAGGAACATGATCGACGACGACGAAGTTCAAGCAAAACGACGAAGAAGAGATTTTACAGCTTTGCGGTCGACCGACCATGGCGCGGCGGTCGACCGCCTATGTGCACAGCTGGGTGCACAGGCCAGGAGCTCATCACGGTCGACCGAGCATGGCACTGCGGTCGACCGAAAAAAGTCCAGAGAGCAACCCAGATTTTTGGCTTCGTCGCGGTCGACCGAGCATGGCGCTGCGGTCGACCGGCAAAAGTGGGTTGATTAGGGCATGATGTAAAAAGATGAAAATAGTGAAATTTTCTCCTGCTGCGGTCGTGGACGTAGTTTCTCACATTGAGAAGCGAACCACGTAAATCTTGTGTGTTTGTGATTGATTGAATTCTCTCTTCTCTCCTAAATCTCTATTTCCAAATCGCATCAGGGGGGTTGTGCATCCCCAACAGCTAGAAGTGTAACCAAGCTGATTGATCATGAAATATTAAGCCACTATCAACATTAGCCATGTTAACTAAAATTATAAGCATAGAAGGACGTTTAAATCATGAATAAGGGAAATGAATGAATACGCACCTCATCCGACATAGCCAAAAGCTTGGTCACTCTATTCTGAAGATCGTGCCTTTCTGATGTCGGGAGCTCCGTAGAATGATCGACTGCAGATTCTTCAGGATTTGGTGGCACCGCATCACTCCTCGACCCTCCACCAAACCCGCAAGCATTCTGACTCTTATCGGCTTTTTTCTTCAAAGCATCCCGAATATTAACAACTTCGTCGAGTAGCCTTTGTGCAGCCTTGAAGTACTTAGAATTTGGAATAGAGGTCATGAAATTTGGAACTCCACATGAAGAAGAATTCAGACGCCCTCTTACAAATGAATCTTGAGAATTTTTGCTTGGAATGTTTTGGGGATAAAGGATCTGGCTAGAACCCCTTAGGTAAAGGTTAGGGATAACGTCGTCTCTTTGGTTTGTAGAATTCGAATAAAAACTAGCCATGTTTTCGCCTTCGAGAAATCTATAAACGAGAGAAACATTATGAATCATTTGTGTACGAGGATGTACGCGTAGCTTTGCCAGTTTGTTCCTTTCTTTACAAATCATCCAAAAATCATATGTAGAAGAAAAATAGTCAGAGGATATTCGTATCAAAGAATCATATAAACTACTCATGACAGCAATAGCAGAGAACAAATAGGAAAGTTTCAATAAAGAAGCATCCATTTTCCAAATCATTCGTACTTCACAATATTTAGAGACTAGCTAATAAGATATTAATAGAATCGAAAAAGGTGAAAAGTAAAGAATTAAAAGAAAATTATTACGCTGAACTTATCTTTTACCTTAATTTTTTATATCAGTTAGAAAATTTTCCTTCCTTAATTTGTGTTTAAGGAATTTGCTAGGACAATACCACAAATAAAGAGAACCCATAAAACCACAAATTTCTCTGAAACAACTCCAATTGCACGCTCTAAATTTGACAGTCAATATAAAAAAAAAACTCTAAGCCCTGAAACCCAATGCCCAAAATTCTCAGTTTAGAAGCTAAGTACCGCAAATCAAAGAGTAGTACGTACCTAAAGATGAGCACTCCTTTGCAAATAGGAGCAACCCATGAAGCAAAAAGTCTTTTGCAGACAATAATACTAGTAATCAACAGAAGAAGATGATAATGAAATAAATATGATGCTGATATGTAAAATAACACCTAAGTTAATGCATAACAAAATTTTGCATGCCCTTGTTCTCTATTAAATATAGAAGAAATTGATGGGAAGATAAAGAGAGGGACGAACGATCAAAAGCAAAAGAATACCTTAAGAAGAAGAAAAGAGAGTATTATTATCTGATCAGCTGAAAGTTCTCCCAATGTGGAAACAGGCTGGTCCCATGGAGAAGCCTAGATTACAATTATATATATATATATACTATGACCACCAATAGACCACCAATAGAAGCTACTGACATATTTTATAGGAACCTGTCAATAAACAAACAAAATCCTACCAATTTCAAAACATTTTTTTATTCTCTTGTGCTCTCTTTATTCTTCTGTCAGGATCATTTCTGACCGAACATTTTGAAAAAAGAAAAAGAAAAAGGAAAAAACAAATGATAGAAGGCCTTCCATAAAATATAGAGCAAGTAGAGTGCCATATCAAATTTATCACTAATTTTAATGCATATATCACAAATGCTTATATGTTATGCGTGGAAAGGTCCATTAAATCTAGGAAAAATTGATTCAAGGCCCCAAATTCCAACTTCCATTGTGCCTCAGCCCCTTCAATTTTCACCAATGTGTTGCAGCCCATGTTTTTAAAAAAAATTGTGTCCAGGCCCCTCCAACTCACCTACCCCAAGTTCCAATGCATTTTCTTCCAAAAACCAGATTTTGCCCTCTCCCCTACACCTCCCTCCTCCTCCTCCGGTTCCCCTCTGTCCCTCCGCCCACCTCCCTCCCCCGCTCCACTTCCTTCCTCGCTCTGCCACTGGCTCTCCGGCTCCTCCGGCTCCCTCCCGTCGCTGTGCGCGCCTTCCCAAGCGCCTTCGCCTCCCTCCCCCGCTCTACCTTCCTCCCCCGTTCCGTCGCTGGTGCCTTCCAAGCTCCAGCCGTCTCCCTCCTCCCGCTCCATAACAAAGTGAAAAAGAAAAAGAAGAGGACGCAGTGAAGAGCAAACAAGGTAATTTCAAACGCTGAGAACTTCGTTCTGTGGACGCGGCTGGTCATGAGGCTTTGGCCGAGGATTTCTGGATGCGGTCACCACTGCCAATGGGGGAGGAGAAGGAGGTGCCACGACCACAAAGAGATCATCTTGGCCACCTACATATATAAATATTATAGATAACATGTTAACTATTATAGATAACATGTTAACTATTATAATTTTATAAATATATTTTGAGCTCAATGTGTGAATTGTAATAGTTAACATGTTACCTATAATAGTCAACATGTTACCTATAATAGTTAACATGTTATCTATAATAATTAATATGTTATCTATAATAGTTAACATGAGCTGGCATGAGAAAGAGAAATGGTAAAATTTGGATTTTAGGTGGACCTGCGTCAAATCATGAGCTGGCATGAGCTGGAATGCATCAGAACTTGGGGGAGGTGAGCTGGAGGGGCATCAACATAATTTTTTCAAAAAACAGGGACTGCAGCACATTGGTGAAAGTTGGAGGGGTTGGGGCACAATGGAAGTTGGATTTTGAGGCCTTGAAACAATTTTTCCTTAAATCTATAGTTAATTATATTAGACCCAATCGACTTAAAAGAATTAATTTTACGTGGATCAAGTGTCCAAATGTATTTAACTATTTTCCTTTCTTACTCACTTCCAATGTGGAGCTGAACTCCATCACGTGTCTTTCATCAAAACCAAACCTATACTTAATTGAATGGATACTATACACTTCTTTACAAATATCCACCTAGGCTCAAATCTAGTCGAGTCCCACCAGAGGCCATAACATATGGCTACTTCGAGCCCAAAATATAGAGCTACTAAAAATTTTACGTATGAGCAAAATTATCCATTGGAAATTAAATGTCCAGAAGAAATCCTAACTCGTAATGGACCAAGTTATATCAGAATCAGGAAATATATATTTATGGTGTCCTATGCACCCGACCTTGATCTTTAAGTCATGCAATAAAATTTAAAGCAAACAGAGCACCTAATAAAGGCCTATTGAACCATGTGTTCCAAAAACCTTTGAGTTCCCATGCCAATTTGTTAGGATTGAAAATACACATTAAGAAGATGAACTTGTTGCGCACCTATGCGGAAGCGTGCTCGCGCACTGAACGAATCTGTGATCACGGGAGAAGAGAACCAATCACACACGAGCACAATTCAATCCAAGTACGACAAATCAAACCAAACACAAAGATATACGTGGTTCGGTAATTTGCCTACGTCCATGAGGAGATGATGGGGAGATTCTACTAAATCAAGGAGAGTACAAAGAGTTATAATCTCACAAACGCTCACAAGTTAACCATAAACCAAATCTCTCAACTTGCTCACAATTTCTCCCCTCTCAATATGCTCAGTACAATCTCTAATCTCTCACTTGAAACCCTAGAAAATTGTGTTTTAATTTATATCAAAACACAAACCCAATGCAAACAGGAAACCAAATTCAAGCCCAACCCGATTCGCGGTCGACCGAAGAGCCATGTACGATCGACTGGACAGAACGATAGAAAGCATAAATCCACTACATGGTCTCGCGGTCGACCGCCGCACCACTCGCGGTCGGCCGCGAAAAGTCCAGAGACTTTTCCAAATCTCATGCACGTTTGCGTCGACCGTCGCGCCACTCCGGTCGACCACTGGAAGTCCAAGTCGTTTTTCTGCAGTTTTTTCTGTAAGCTCTTCAATTCTCCACCTCGGTGAAGTTGTTCCAAAACTGATCCGACACCAAACGAAGAGCACCAATACCTTGTCTCTCCAAACTCGGCTGCACCAATATGGTTGCCTACGTACCCCCACTCCCAAGGGATCAAGCTGTCCGTAGTTTATCCAAATGGTCGTCAACGGCCTTAACAATCATGAATGTGCAACAAGTTTTGATAATGATCAAACTTGTTGCTCGGAACCACCTTAGTAAGCATATCCGCCGGATTATCTTTCGTGTGGACCTTCATAATCTCCACATCGCCATCTTCAAGAACATCTCAAGTGAAGGGATAACGAACGTTAATGTGCTTCATTCTCGCATGAAAAACCTGATTCTTCACCAAATAGATAGCACTCATACTATCATAATGAATAGTGACGGACCGTTGCGATATACCAAGTTCCTCCAAAAGTCCTCGAAGCCAAATAACCTCCTTCACAGCCTCTGTTATCGCCATATACTCTACCTCTATCATAGAGAAAATCACCGTAGACTGTAAGGTGCATCTCCAACACACCGACACACGGATCAAAGTTAACACATACCTCGTAGTAGACCGACGCTTATCCAAATCCCCTACATAATCCGAATCAACATAGCCAATGCACAACTGTCCACCTATAGTGTCCCGTTCATAAACCAAACTAACATTGAGCGTACCTCGAATGTACCTCAAAATCCAATCCCACGGCGTCCTAATGATCCACTCATTGATCGTGCATGTATCTCGAAACCATGCTCACTGCCTGTGACAAATCTGGCCACGTACATACCATCGCGTACATCAAGCTCTCAACCACGCTCGCATATGGAGTCTTCGACATCAACTCACTATCTTCAACTGTCTTTGGTGAAAGGTCAGCTGAAAGCTTCAAATGGGCTCCAAAAGGTACACTAACTGGCTTCGTATCCATGCTGACATGAAATCGCTGTAGAACCTTCTTCAAATAAGTCACCTATGTCAAACAAATTTTATCATTCTCTTTGTCTCTGTCGATCTCCATCCCTAAAATGCGCTTAGGTTCACCCAAATCTTTCATCTCAAACTCCTTTGAAAGGTGTGCCTTCAACTCATCTGTAGATGTACGCACCTTCTTTCAACTTGTGAAAATACACGCAAGGATCAAACTGGCTCCGAGTGTACAAATGACTAAGTATAAAACTATCGAATCGCCTATACCACTGTCGAGGAGACTGTTTCAAACCGTATAGCGATTTCTTTAACCTGCAAACCAGGTTTTCCTTCCCTGTAACTCGGAATCCCAATGACTGAGTCATACATATTTCTTCATCAAGATCACTATGAAGAAATATCGTCTTCACATCCAATAATCTAACTCCAATCCATACAGTGTTACTAAAGCTAAAAAACCCGAATAGAAGAATGATTCACCACCGGAGAGAAAACCTCATTATAATCAATACCTTCCTCCTGTGCATAGCCCGCAACCAACATAGTCTTGAACCTTAATGGAGTGCCCTTAATGCCCTCCTTCTTCGTATACACCCACTTGCAACCAATTGCCTTCCGCCTCTTTGGAAGCTCAACAAGCTCCCATGTATTATTCTTGTGAAGAGACTCCATCTCCTCCTGCATAGCCACCTGCCACGAATCAGCCTCCAAACTCTGCTTGGTCTCTTTGAATGTAGTAGGCACTAACTCATCAGTACTCTTAACCGGAAGTGCATATGCAACTACTGTGTTAGTATACCATGCTGGCATCCGTATGTCTCTCCTCTGTCTCTGAACCGTAATAGAATCCTGAACCTGAACCGTCGGTCCCTGATCTTGCACAACTGTATTCGTATCTTCCTCGTTGTCACCGTGCTCACCTGACGTCATCTCAGTCGGTATTCTAATGGATACTGTACTATCTGGAATGCTAAAGTCTGCTAATTGTTGAATATCATATCTCCATGATAGTATTTTGATGATAACAATTTATATAATGTGTGTTATAAAAATGCACTAACTTTTATATGCAGATCTCAATATCAAAATATGAACAAGTGGAAGTTGATTTCAAGGTATTATGAAGTGAAGAAGATGAAGAACATATGAGATAATGTATTTTACATTTTCTTTACTTAGAATTATTGTACAAGCCTTGATCACACACACGTACACACACAATATTAGAACACACTAACACAGGCTTAGTGTGTTGGTTAACTATAGAAATCCCCTATGTTAACCATTAGAATTATAGTTAAAACTTGAGTATAAAAACTTTTTAGTTCATATTTTTTTACTCTTAGTAGTCGACTAATTAGAATAGTAGTCGATTACTCGTGTATAAAACTTAAA